CCCCCCCGCACCTCACCCCGCGCGCGCGCGCTCTCCGCGCAAAGGACGAGTTCTGTCGGAGGGGCCAGGATCCGCGCGCCCCTCCTTCCTCCAGGCGCGGAGGAGCAGAGCTGGCCGCCTCCCGGGGGAAGAGCCCGAAGCTCTGGGATCCTCCGTCCGTCCCCGCTCCACCCCCTGCACGCCACCAACGGCGTGCCGCTGTCGCTTTTCTGGCCTCTCGGCTCACGGAGGCATCTCGAAGGCAGGTAGCCGCGGAGCCCGAAGGGAGAGGTCGGGGTGGCTTTCCTCCTGGAGCTGGAGGAAAATGGCTCTGGTTAGCTTGATCTCTCTAGCCACTGGGAGACCCTTGGCCGGCTCCTCCGGGCTGGCGCCTTCCAACGATCGCTTGCCGAGGCCAGCGAATCTCAAGATATCTGGAGACACCTTGCTCTTTCCTTGGCACTTTTCCTGCGTTTCTCCATTGAGCAACGGCCGGGTGTCACCCAACACAACAACAATCAAAGGCGAAGGAGGGGGGGAGGGGGGAAGAGGCCGATCCCGATCGCCACTGAGCGGAGAGCGTTCCTGGACCCGGGGATGGATCTGAACTCCAAGGAAGGAGGCTTGGAGCGGGCGGTTTCTTGTCCCTTCTTCCTCGCTTGAGATAGTCGAGCCCCTCTCGTTGAGAGCGAGCCGCAGCTCGACTTTCCCCCTTCCCCAGACAAGGGGACTCAAGCTGCAACCTTATACACCCTTCGCTGGGAACAAGTCCCCTGCACTTGACTTTCCAAGGAGCGGGGCTCATCCCTTAGCCTACGTGGCCCAGCTTTTGTCTTGCCCAGGCCTACCTTGGGCTTCGTTGACTTTCTGTGCAGGATCCCCGCAGGATTTAATCAGTGAGTTCCTAGGCCAACCACAGTTTATCTATTCTTAAGATCTTTGCATCTAAGGAAAAGGCTGCTTGGTAGGAGCAAATCTGGGAGGAATTTTTAAGGAATAAAGGAAGACATCAAAAGTGTTCAGGGATACAAGCTTCAGTGAAAGTAAGTTTGGAGATAAGTATGGGGAAAAGCTCCAAAACAAAACAGAAAAACAACTTTTTGCCTTGCTGTTTTAAGCCCATGGCCCAATCCGAATATTGTCTCCTGATAAAGAAATCCCCCTGGTTTTAAAAGGCAATGACTGTCAAGTAAGTATACATGTAGTACCTTAGTTATCCTATGCTGCTTAAATAAACCAGATGGGCCGGTTTTGAATGCTTAATTGTAGCACAGAGAGAGAGGCAAAAAAAAAAAAAAAAAAATCTCACCTCACAAATCCAGGCAGAACTCTAAATAAAATCTCAATTTAGGGAGAGCTGCAACAGGTTAGCCGGTCTGGGGGTATGGATTGTCTTCACGAATTTGGAATATTTTAACTTAATAGCCTAGAATCAATTGGTTAACATTAGTTCAAGACCCACTTTGCACCCTTTGTCTCCGTTTTTATTCATCCTTAGTGTTTTTAACTTGGCAATCTTTCTGTGCGAAAATGCATATTGGTAGCAGCCGGGCCTGCTCTCTACATAGTTTTTGGCCACAGATTAATTGAGATTAATTCTGCCACCATCTGGATGTAGGTTTTTATGTATCTGCTTGGGTGGTTTGTTCTGTTCAGGCATTTAATTTCCTTGTTTAATGAAACTACTTGGAAAAGAAAAGCTTCTGGATCAGAACATGGGAATTTAACCTAAAAATTATTTTCTATTTGGGAATGCTAGCCCACCAAGATCCCCAAATCTGTTCTGTAACTCTTGGAAGTAAATCATACCAAGGAGTTACAAAAACTTGAAAGTGTATATAATTGAAACAGAGCTACCACACTCCTGCAAGAAAATGCACCATGTTCTTTACCCAGCACTTTTACTTGGAGGTCAGTGTCATTAGTTTACTTTAGTTTTATTTCTAAATGAGCCTGTTTGAGATTTCACCTTCAATCTTTTTTTCCCCATACTCCTAGAAATGCATTCTTCAGCATGTGAGGGAATCCGTAAAGTTTTGGTGTCGCCATCCTCTGCCTTTCCTTCTGGCTTCCCGTCTGTTGGTGCAGGTTCTTTACAATACAGATTTCAAAGCTTACCCCCCCCCCCCGCCAAAGCTGTCTTTTTTAGATCATTAGCCATTTCTAATTAATGTGTCTGCTTCTGCTCTCTTTTAAATTAATTATAGTTCCCTCCTTTTGTTATCTCGTTTTGATTTCTAATCCAATTATCTTTTTAAATAATTGCTTTATCTCTCTCATCATTGATATTGTACCCCCTCGCAGCCCCTCGGCAATTGTATGGTAATGTGGCTGTAGTTTTTTTTTTTTAAATAATAATCTCGGTTTCCTTATCTCCACCCCACTACACTTCACTCTCTGCCACTTTCCAGTTTTCCTTGGAGGGGGGAGGAATTATCCGCCATGTTGAGAGAGCTTCTGTGTTGAAGAAACCTTGAAACTGTAAGATAGAAAAGAATTAGAAACTTTTAAAATATTTGGTTAGCTCCCAGAAGAAGCTTTATTGTACTTGATATGGAAATTAAATTCCTTTTTAAAATCAAGATCTATCATAACTATACAGTATATAAAAAATTATTGCAACTTTTTAAAATTGAAAATTACAAAAGGAACATTAACTGGATATGATCCATACTTGCACTTGCACTGAAAAACTGGAGTAGAAAAACAAAGATGTTATATTTGGGAATTACATAAAATGTTGATATTTTGTTATCAATTCACTATATGATAATTTTGTTGTTTTTCTTCTAGAGTGCTGTGAAAAACTCTTCTGCTCTTTGGGATTCCCTTCTGTTACCTGGTTGGATGAATACTTTTTTTTTAAATAAAGCACAGTTTGAGACCCTGCTAAATAAACAAATAGATAATTGTGTGTGGATAAATTGGAAAAATCTTTCCAGCTTTTAGCATGATGTCTTACCTCAAACAGCCCCCCTATGGCATGAACGGGCTGGGGCTAGCCGGACCAGCAATGGATCTTCTACACCCTTCTGTGGGGTATCCAGGTGAGCCCCCATCTTCTGCCCTTTCAGCCACTAATTATTGAGTAGACACACTCAAATTATTCCACAGGATTTGAAAAAAAGGAAGAAACCTGCCAATTCCTCTTTCTTGCCCTACAAGTTATGTGGAAAGCAAACAGGCATTAAGAAGGGAATTCTTTCTTCCCACGCTTCCATTCTTAGAAACTGCACTAGGGTTTTAATGGATTTTAGTTCTGTATCTACGTGTTTCCTAACAGTCTCTGAATGCTTTTCTTGCATTCAGTCTAATGATAATAAATGGAAAGCACTTTACTAAAATGTTAATCTAAGTTTTCATAATGGAGCTGATTTCAAATCCCTGATTTCTGCCTTGTTTTGTTTTTGCTTGCAGGTAGAGAACTGATTATGACAATTTTAGAACAAGTGTGTGGTTGTTTAAAAAGAACAGATTCAGGGCAATGAGGCACTCTGATAAGCAAATCTTTAAAAGAGATTGAAACTTCTGTGAAGGTTGATTTTTGTAAGTGTAGTTTTAAATGAAGACCAAGGGAAAAGAAAGTGACACTCGTAGCTTATGAATGCAGATGGAGGGCTGTCCCAATTTCAAGATTCCCTGCTACCTTTTCTTACCTCCAAGACTTGTCCTGGAGGAAAGGGTTTACAGCTGAGAGGATCTGCAGCCAATTAACATTTCCTCTCCTTCCATTAGCAATGTCCAGAAATCAGCACAGGTTTTGTAATCTTTTGTAGTCTGATGACAAATCAAATAAGGCTCAGAGTAGTGCTAATTAATTCAAGGGAATACTTCATATCCCTATAATTGTGAAAGATTTAAAGTGCCAACATCCCGATTCGGAAAGTGAGGAGCTCACTAGGTCAGCTGTAAACTGGATTGATTTTGGTGGAATTTACTCCCGTTTGCAGCGTTGTAACCTTACCCAGCCTGAAACACACATAGTTAGACCAGTAAAATTAAGTATGCTTACAATTGCAGCCTTGCTTGGACATACTACAGACTTCTGTGGAATACCTCCCTGTTAAGGTTTTTAGGTATGGGAATAAATAAGCTATTGAAACGCATATGCTTCTGTTTTAACTGACTTGTTATCTGGCGAGCCAGCTACTTTGAGGTAGCTGTTGTCGCAGGTCCGGGGCCGCTCCAAAGTCGTCCTTTGCAAAAGCCCCAGCTACAGACGAGCCCACCTTCTTTCGAGTAGATGAATGGAGGCAGCTTCCCTCTTCTTTTGTACTGTTTTCTGTGATTTATATTTATAAGCTAGAAACCTAATCAGCCTTTTTTCTCCTGGCTCGGCGAGTGCATATTTCCCTCTCGGATTCCCCCGTGGGATCGCCCGGCCCGTTCTATAGAAATCTATGGGGCGACTGGCGATCGCCTGCGTCAAGGGATTGGTGGGCGTGGGAACGAGCGAGCCTCGCCGTCTCGCCTCCCCCTCCTGAATCGGGGCGAGCGGGCGTGGCGGGGAGGGGGGCGGGGACGAGAGAGAGAGAGGAGAGCGCGAGACCAGGTCCGAATGCCTCTCATCTTTCCGTTTTCCTTCCTACCTACCTACCTGTCCTGCCGTGTGTGGTTCGGGGCTCGTAGCCACCCCTCGGAAGCAGCGGCGAGAACGCACCACCTTCACCCGATCGCAGCTGGACGTGTTGGAAGCGCTTTTTGCAAAAACCCGTTACCCAGACATATTCATGCGAGAGGAGGTTGCCCTGAAGATCAACCTGCCGGAATCAAGAGTCCAGGTCCGGGGGCTTTAAAAAAGCGAGTCTGGGGCTGGGGAGGGACTTGGGCCTCTGTCTGCGGGGAAGGGGGTCGTTGGGGCGCCCTAGTTGGCTCTGTTCTCCGGTCACTCTTCCAAACTTCAAGGTAAGAATGGCTCTGGATGCGGACGGTTCCTTTTATTTTAATGGTTCTTCTCGTTCGGGATCCACTGTAGTCTCCGTCTGGCCAGGGCCATTCTGGTTTTCAGTCTAGGCGCAGCTCTTTCGCTCTAGGACTGATATTTACTGGGGTAAATTATTCTTCGCTCGGCCGGAATAGCTGTGCAGGGAGTGACGCGCCAGTACTGGAGTTGCAGAAGGGCGCGATGAAGATCGTTCTCGGTTTATTGTATCTGGCAACTTCCTTTAGCTCCCTTATCACTTTAGAGGAATCGATACTTTACAGCTACTTACTTTCTCCTTCTCTCAAGTCAGTGTCAAGGCTACATCCCAATCCTAAACGCATCTCAATGGATACACTCCAGCACAAGTTAGATTTCACTAATTTCCATAGAGATCAATAGAATAGGATTTTTTCTTACTCCAGCCTGAGTATGTCTACTCAGAAATATAAAACTTAGAATGTTTCTGTATTTAAAATCATTATTAGCATATACAGTGCACAAATAGTGGAAGGACGGATAATTTATTCCTCTGGAATACTTTTATGTGTAAGATTAAGACTACATAAGCATTTAAATAGAAGCAACTTTAAAATCATTTGACATCCTAATCCTTAATGCACTTGTAGCATTATCTATATTTGTTTATCTGGAAATAAATTTTACTGGGACTTATCCCAAATTTATATTCATTAAAACTGTCACATTGCTTAAAAGTAAAATCAAATTGATTTTTAAGTGCAGGAGTTCCACTTAAAGTTTCTGATGCATTTCCAGTCCTCCAGTTGGTGACTTAATTAGAAGTTGTAAAGAGAACAAACTTGTGATTAAGATTTGGAGTCTTATCCTTGCTCCTTCCTGTGAGGCTTTTTAAAATGTATCATCTCTTCCTCCCCCTGCCCCCAGCAACAATTCATTTTCCTGCAGTAGAATTGAATCTCAGTTGTTGATCTGAAACTCAGACATTGCCTGTGACTGGTTTGCACTACTTTTTACTTGATTCTAAATGATTTAGGGGCAAAGCAGCTGATAACTTGACAATGTGGATTGTGTTTTGCATGTGTGAATGTGTGTATAGACTATATTATACAAACAGGCTTCAACATATTGTACAGTATCAGAAAAGGAAAAAATGTTTCAGAAATGTAGAAATTTCCCAGCTTTCTTATTCAGTTCAGTGTGTTGTTGAAGACAGTGTTTTGTTGAAGGGCAGTCTGGATTTTGGGGGTGGGAAGTGGGTGGGTTGCTGTAGAATTCAAAGCAGAGACACTATAAAAGCTCAGGAAAGTCAATCCATGTTGAATACACAATGGACACACACAGGTGAGAGGAATGGAAAAGGTAGACTTTGATTCTTCTTGGATTTCAACATAATGAGACTTTTCTGCCTTCACAATCCCTGGTTTGGCATCACTAAGTAAGGCTTGATAGTATATTTTCTGTCTGAGATTGGCTGTCCCTTATTGGGTTCAGTCTTGCTCAGCTAGACTAAACTGGGAAAGGAGATTCTTCTGGGAACTCCTAGAAATTCAGAGATTAAATTCTGAGTCTCTGAAACAAGACCATGGAAAGTATACTTTATCATAATTTCCACTGAACTTTGAGAACTTGTGGTAGATAAAAGGATAGGCACCAAACTATCTCTTTAGGATGTAAATAAGTGTGTAATTAAAATACAATCACACCTTTGCCATGCAAGCTGGATCCTTCCTGTTTGTTTGCTCTGTGTCCTATTTCTCACTGAAGGCAATTTGAAACCTTGAAATAAAGGCATTTAAGTGGGGGGGGGGGGGGGAGAACTGAAATTGCAAGTAAACCATACAATGGTGATTTCAGTGTGCATATGTATGCTTGGCTGGATCTCATGTAGCAAGACAGATTTTATATGCAACCATCATGTATTTGAACTATGGAAGGGAATGTAATGTAGAACATTTATAAAATATACTTATTTATAAAAATATGAAGTAGCCTTAAAATCCTAAGCAATTTGTTGGGAAGTGACTTACTCTGATTAGTTTACCAATATTAGCATATTCAAATTTTCTCTCATCATATTAAGTCTAGTGCTATTAGCTACTCAGGGATGTTCTACTTTTGAAAGTTGTGGGACATTGCAGGAATGATATATTTAATATTTTAACAATTTGTAGAGGCCCGCACATAAGAAGAGTGGAATTATTAGATTCTTGAATTCTGGAGTAAACATTTTGAGGGCTTGGATTGGTTCAGTGAACTTCCAGTTGGCTGTTGGCTAGTCTGCTTTTGGGTAGTGGGAATTCTCTGGGGAGGGAGGCTAGAAAATAGTCCATTAATTTGACTTGTGTATAATCTGAATGAGAGATGGGTACCCTATCCTGAGGTTATGTAAGAAGCTGCTGAATCCTGCAAGTGATGAACGTAACAGTACATTTGTTATGGTTGCACTATTGGCAGCATTGAAGGTATATTTTGTAAGTGTTGTTCATTGTGACACTGTCTCAGAATCTGTAGTGGGTCCTTCTTTGAAGAACTAGAGATACAAAAATATTCTGTTACAATTTAATGAAATGGAATATCAACATAGGTACATAAAACTCTGGATGCTACACTCCATCAGCAGTGTAGCTGTTAACTGCAACATAATTTTTATATTAATGAGAACTCTGGAAGAAAAATAGACTTGTAGAGCAGACAGATGAATCCTAACATCAGATGAAAATTTATTTTTCCCACCATTTCTGACAGTTAATTTACATTTTCCACCTATCTTTTCCATAAACTAGTCTTAATATTGGCTGTTAGGAGTTTGGGGGTCTGATTCATGAATTTTATTTATTTGAAATGGTATGGCAGGGATGACATGTGGAAGAAGTGTGGTTGAATTTGACAAGGGATATCAAATAATTATTCTCTTGGAAGTAAAAGATGTAGCTGATTACTGATTTGGTGTATCCTGGAGTATAAAATGTTGATGAACAAGGAAAATATCTCAGTGAAATTAAGAACCAAAATGCTGTCTTGCTCCATTGAATACAAGGGACAATACCGCTTAGAGCTGAATGCTACAGGTGAATGGCTTAAGTGTAACAGAAAGTAGCCTGGAAAAATAGGTAAAGTGGTACACAAGCATTTAGTGAGGACACTGAGGATCCTAATTTCTCCTCTAGTATAAATGCAGTTTCTCTCTATTTTCTAATGCAAGGTATCTATTGCCATGGACTGGCAGAGGATGGGCTAGGAGCTTTATAGTTTGCTGACAGCTTTGGGTAAGACTAAGCTGGCTGCTCTGTTGGAAGCAATGGGTCTGAGAACCTGGTTATCAATGGTTTCCTGTCTGTGTAGGCTTGGGAAGATAATAAGGTGTACATGCTGTATTATATCTTGCCCTGCCTGGATTGTTTTACTGAGGACATAGCACAAGGCAACTAATATCTACTCTTTGCTTGCTCCTACTACCTATATACTGTACACACCTGCATAGATTCAGAGCTGGGAAATCATTTGTGAGGAATGATGTTCTCTCTCCCCCCAAGTCCTCCCACTGCTATATTAATAGTAAAAGGTACATGCAGGCCTGAGTGTTGAAGATCTCGCTTCATTTATAAGTTCCAAACAAGGTTAGTTAGTCAAGGCTGTGATAGTAAGGATGAATGTAGAAACCTCTCTTCAAGATGGTGTTATGGAGATACTGGGTTTCCCTGATGTATGAGAAACTATTGATAAAGTTTTGGAGATTGACCAGTGGAGATAAAACCCAGCAGAACTGATGGCACTACTAAGAGAGGTGGGCATCCTGCCCAATGGGGTATGAGCATAGTGTGCTTTTTTTAGGATAGTTTGCGGGGGCACGTGGTGGTTTATACTCCCTGCGTCAGGAATGCTGCGCCCGTCCTTGGCCGCCTGGCTTCTCTTCTGCTGGCCCCAACCACTTACCACTTACTGTGCTCCTGGGGGCCCCACCTGAAGGCAGTGGCTGTAGCTATTTGGGATGCGCTGAGCCAGACCTGATGGCTTTGCTTCCCCTCTACGGGGGGCGGGCAGGCAGGCGGGCAGGATCAGCGAAAGGATAGAGCGAGTACATAGACCTGAAAGCTGTCTTTTTCGGCCTAGAGCCCTTGTGGAGCCCCGGTCT